AAAATGGTAAAACTTCATTTTTAAAATACTAATACTATAACATAGTGTTTGATTCACCTAAAATGAAATTGAATGGATTGAAATGGTCATTTCACTGCTGAAAATAAGGGTTTTAGAGGCGTTTAAAAAATGCTGCTATATGTCTCTAACACGCCGTCAAACCCTTTTGTGACATTTAGCACCAAACGCCGAAAATGCAGCCATCGCTATAATCTGACGACACTTTAGAAATGTCACTATATTACTATAGGCGGCGCTTTTCTAAAAGTTATCCATAATAGTAAGATGACGTCACATGATATTTTAGCGACGTTTGAAAAACGCCGTCATAGACATTTATACATTTTAAAAATCTAGCCGTTGGGGTTGGGATATAATGACGTTTAAAAAACATCGCCATAGTCTCTCTTTTTTTTAAGTTGTGTTAATTTTATATGGTTGAACTAAAAAAATACCTGTCATAAACAATTATTAAGAACTAATAATTGATGTTTATTAAAATAAAATAATAAATAAATTAAGCTTGGAAACAAAATTAAAAATAAGAAACAATACATTACATACCAAAAAATAGAAACAATTCATGTTCAAACTTTAAACATATCAATTGAAATCAAAATGGTCAAGAAAAAGTCAAATTACTTAAACTTCAAGAGTAACTCTCATCAGTGTGAGATGAACAACATTTAAAAGAGGTGATTTGACAAAAAAAAATTGCATAGAACCCTATAAACTGTTTTAACAATTACAACATTCAAGGCTCTCATCTTCGCTGCTGCTTTAAAGTGACTTTTACAAGAAGGGGTTACAGGCCAAAACATTTTTGTGGCATCCAAGGGTGAACCATATGGAGTAGTTTCCAGTTCTAACCAATAAGAAATATACAACTATGCAGTAGCTTCCAAGTCTTCCACTGAGCACTAATATCAATTGAAGGAACAAGAATTCCAGCAACAAGAAAAAAATAAAAAAATAAACCAACCATTTCAAGCATTAAGAACAATAAGAGAGTGAAAGATGAACAAACTGAGTTTTAATGAAAGTGCTCACTCCAATAAATTTAAAACCTGAAGAAGGAGCCTCCAAACCCTCTCTGAACATTGCAATATTTCGGCATTTGATTCTAGGAGCAAGTTCTGAAAAACAATCCTAAGTGTATACCCCAAAAAAAAAAAGAAACCCAAAAAGAAGTAGAAGAGGACTCAGCCATGTTCCTTTTGTATCGAGCTTGAAGAAGTCGTTCCTGCATGTGAAATTCTAAGGATGAGATAACACATACGTATCTAACTTGCAAGAATGCAGATGAGAACAGAAAAAAACAAAATCACACAAAAATATAAATATTGAAAAGATAATTAAACTATTTGTAAGATCATCATACTCCTTTGTCTTGTTCCCAGCATATGATTCACGATCTCGGAACCTCAACATAGGTATCCTCCCAGGCCTATCAATCTGGAAGAGAACATAAACAAATCTATATTCACAAATTTTTTTTTAAACAAGCTTATCAAATTTGACAGCATTTTGAATATGTAAATTGGGCCTTGATGTAGATACAATGCTAGGAAGGCAGTCCCGATATGATCACAACTAAATTCACACTGAAGTCCCCAAGCCTTAAATGTGAAAAAGTTTTAAGCAAGTTGAGCAAGTGTGTATTGGGAGTCTGGGACCTAAACAAACTTTCTCCTCTCCTTTTGGTATGGTGATTGACCTCTTATAGGTTCTTCCCTTGTGTGTTCATGAGAAAGAAATATGTTGTTGAAATAACAATGACCTAGAGCTTGGGTGATCAAACTCTATTTTTACCTACCATTTTTTCCCCTCTATTTTCGTCTTGAAAGGGGCATTTCTTATCTTACAAGTGTAGTATTCTGTTCAGAAGTCCCAGCCAGACATCGTGAAGAACAAAGCCATGAATAACTCTTTTAAACTAGTTCTTCAAAAGAGACTGAGCCAATCTAGATACAGAACTTTCATTTGAAATAGATATTTTGTAACAAAGTCTATGCAAGAAAATAGATAAATCCATTTGAAATAGATAGACCATAAAACTCGGAGAAAAACAGGGCCATTAAAGTTTAGATGCTAAACGTTGTAGATTAGTACAAGAGATAACCCAAAGCCAAGAATTCATGGCTTAGTAGAAGATAAGGGGTGCACACTCAGAGAAGACTAAAAACTGAAATAGAAAATCCTAGTGCAAGCAGCAATAGCAAAGATAATCATGACTGATGACTAAGTACAAAAACTGTATGTCCAAAGACAAAAGGGTCTAAACAAGTTGAAACAAAATTACAATGTATGTTAGTCATGGGGACATAGTTATTAGTCAAAACACATATTTAATTTGATGATCACAGACTTACATTACATGTGCCTAAAGAATCTTATGGTTATGGTCTCTTTTTATATAAATTATTGCTTTATTACCAATCATGATGCTCCACATAACCATCTAATCATTATTTATGCGCAACAAATGAAAGTGAATTTACATGTAAGCAGAAAAGATTAATTGTAATTTCCATCAGCTAGGAATATGGAAGTTATTCCCACACAACAAATACATAATTCAAAAAAGAAAAGAAAAAGAAAAAAAGCACTACCCCAGCATCATTTCTAGTTGCAGAATATGATTACAAGATTACAACCCATTGAGAAGAAAGAATGAAAAAGAAAGGGGAAAAAAGGGAAATATATATATTCTCACGTCAGCGAGTGAACAGAATATAAGACGCTTCACTTCAGCATAGCTAAATCAAATATACCTGAATGCCTAGCATCTTTCCAATCAGTCCTAATGCCTCTTGGGTATCCTTATTCTCCTTATAAAGATGGAACTTGAAATGGCAGATGCTTTCTCAGATGTGACCAAGAGTAACCAACACCACTTAAACCCATAACCATACGTAATAATTGGAAGTCATCTATAGAAGCTTTCATGGGGAAAAAGAAAAAGAATGATTCTATTAGATGTCACACCATTGACAAAATTGTTGAGAGGTTTAACAACTGCCTCTCTATTACATGCTCAAGTCGCTCCAAAGGTAATAAGTAAACTTGTTTCAGACTTTTAATCCAGGCCAAATGTGAATCAATCTAGATGTTGAGAAGGAAAACTTATTAAAATAAGCTTAATTATGTTATTGTAATTTAGATTCTACTATTCCATGGATTATGGCTCAATAATACTCCATGTGAGACACATTTAAGTGTGTAAAATAAGCAGCATGCAGCAAAAGATTCAGAATAAAGTTGATTGCATTAACAAAGTAATAATAATATGTGGACAACTCAGAAAGAGAGGGCGCCAAAGAACTATCAACTCCAGTTTTGTGCTCATTTTCTGTTTACCTCAATATAATTTGCTACCACCATTTTCTTCTTAACCAGGCTTCTCCTTTTTTGATCAAATGATTCTCACTGTTGATGATACATTTATGTAATACATAGCCTGCATCATTGCAAAGCTAATTACTTTGATTTCTTGATATTTCAAACAGATCAGTGAGCAGAAAAGACATCTATGTCCAAAAGATGATTAGCAGAACAACTATGACAAAAAAAAAAAAAAAAATTAAAAAGAGCACAGATGTTTAGAAAGATACGAAAAATACAAACACAACGAAAATATTACCTAAGAAACTTATCGAGATGGCCAGGCCAATTATCTGAACCTCTATTGTCGTAACGCTTACTGCCCCTATCTTTCCATTTCTTTGAGTTTTTGCTTGTGCCATTATTCCCTCCTGAGTTTCTGCCTGTTCCATTATTCCCTCCTGCATCGAACCACACACGAATGCATTTTGATGACATGTCTAGCCCATCTATTGTGTCGGTAACAAGGAATTTCAAACGCTCCTTGAAAAAAGTATGCACCGCCTAAAAGGCATAAATATGAATGATTGACAATACAAAGCCTTGCCTCCAATAAATAAATAAATAAATAAGCTTTACATGAGAGTAAATAAACCAATTGACTTAAACTTAGAAACTAACCGTCCTGTGGGATTTATCAGAACTAGGAGAAAGGACAATTGGTGAGAGACTATCTTCAACACCAGAACTAATTTGATGTATAAAAGCTTTGAGACTATCAGCATCAGAGTCACCAGCAAGAGATTTAAATGCTTCAAATGAAAGTGAATTTACATATAAGAAAAACAGATTCGTTATTGAAATTATTGTAATTTTCCATCAATACTAAGTTTGCAAAATCATTTGCAAAAAGAAAGGTTAAAGACGTAATGTGAGCCAGGAAGAGCCTTACAACAATTGGATATCATGCAAGTGGAAACTACACATATTCTATCAATGCAATTGAAACTCAACAATAGAAACAGAAGCAAATTTAAAGGGATATGCCCATGAGATGAAAATAGGGTTTATAAATTTCCAATTAACAGGGATGAGAGAGAATTAGAGAGTGAAACATAATGATAATAATAATAATAATAATAAAATGAGCTCAAATTAACTGTGCTTTTAATAAACACATTTGTCAATAAACATGGCATTCAAACTACAAATGCTAATAAATTGATATCAATTCCCAAACACTGAACAAAAAGCGAGCACAGAGTTGTTCAATACAAATCTAAACAAGATCAAAACCAGAACATACATGTAAACAAATATATTAGAACTTACCTCCAATGAGAAAGTTAGGGCTTCTTTTCTCACAGGAGTTGATTTTTTCTGTCACTGCCGATCAACGAATGGATCATTCGGCAGCCTGAAAACAAAATAAGGATGATTATTCAATCAATACATAGAGATACATATATAAATTCATATACATACTTGTATAGAGAGATTTTCAGAAGAAAAAAATTAACCAAAAAAAAGTACAGATAATGTGTACACAGACAACGAGATTGTGCGAGAGAGACAGAGATCGAGAGAGAGGGAGAGAAGAATCGACGAAACTGCGATTGGATTGAACTCGAAATCGTGCAGATGGTTAGTAGACGATGTCGATGCAGATGGTGATGGCGATGGCGGTGGCGGTGGCGGTGGCGGTGGAGCTTCGAAATCAAAATCATTCTGAGATTGGATCGACCGAATGATGAATCACCGAGCTGAAGAAGGTTAAACCGAGTTGAAGGAGCTGAAGGGTTGAGAGAGAGAGAGAGAGAGAGAGAGCGAGAGAGACACTGTAACACATTTGAAGGCGCTTTCCAAAAGACTTCTATTACTTAAACGATACCGTTTTAATGAAAACAAAATGTGACGTTTATAAAACGTCGTTAAATGTTAAAAATAGTAGCGTTTAAAAAAAACGCCGTTAAATCATATATAGTGTGTTGTTAATGATTATTTCACGGTAAACTACAATTCCATTTGCTGTAGAGTTTTGTTAATGATTATTTCCTCAAAACAGTAAACTACGATTTCATTTGTTGTATATTTTTTTAATGGAGGATGTTTAGAAAGATATGAAAAATACAAACACAATGTAAATATTACCTAAGAAACTTATCGAGATGGCCAGGCCAATTATCTGAACCTCTATTGTCGTAACGCTTACTGCCCCTATCTTTCCATTTCTTTGAGTTTTTGCTTGTGCCATTATTCCCTCCTGAGTTTCTGCCTGTTCCATTATTCCCTCCTGCATCGAACCACACACGAATGCATTTTGATGACATGTCTAGCCCATCTATTGTGTCGGTAACAAGGAATTTCAAACGCTCCTTGAAAAAAGTATGCACCGCCTAAAAGGCATAAATATGAATGATTGACAATACAAAGCCTTGCCTCCAATAAATAAATAAATAAATAAGCTTTACATGAGAGTAAATAAACCAATTGACTTAAACTTAGAAACTAACCGTCCTGTGGGATTTATCAGAACTAGGAGAAAGGACAATTGGTGAGAGACTATCTTCAACACCAGAACTAATTTGATGTATAAAAGCTTTGAGACTATCAGCATCAGAGTCACCAGCAAGAGATTTAAATGCTTCAAATGAAAGTGAATTTACATATAAGAAAAACAGATTCGTTATTGAAATTATTGTAATTTTCCATCAATACTAAGTTTGCAAAATCATTTGCAAAAAGAAAGGTTAAAGATGTAATGTGAGCCAGGAAGAGCCTTACAACAATTGGATATCATGCAAGTGGAAACTACACATATTCTATCAATGCAATTGAAACTCAACAATAGAAACAGAAGCAAATTTAAAGGGATATGCACATGAGATGAAAATAAGGTTTATAAATTTCAAATTAACAGGGATGAGAGAGAATTAGAGTGAAACAAAAATAATAATAACAATAAATGAGCTCAAATTAACTGTATTTTCAATGAACACATTTATCAATAAACATGGCATTCAAACTACAAATGCTAATAAATTGATATCAATTCCCAAACACTGAACAAAAAGCGAGCACAGAGTTGTTCAATACAAATCTAAACAAGATCAAAACCAGAACATACATGTAAACAAATATATTAGAACTTACCTCCAATGAGAAAGTTAGGGCTTCTTTTCTCACAGGAGTTGATTTTTTCTGTCACTGCCGATCAACGAATGGATCATTCGGCAGCCTGAAAACAAAATAAGGATGATTATTCAATCAATACATAGAGATACATATAAA